CTGCCTCCCTAACGTGTCCCCATCACCACTGTCTGACAGTTTAAAGAAAAAAACCGTAGTTCTGAATGAGGTGATTCATCCCACAAAATGCCTCTTCTCCTTTTACAGAACTTTTAAACTAGCATCATGCTGCCCTTTTAAAATAGTCCCATGTTTTGGATTCCTCTAGCCCTGTCCAAACGGGCATGTTTTATTTGCCAGTCTGTCTTTATTTTGAGGCAGAAGTTACTTTCGTGCAGGAAATGTGTTTACGTTTATCCATGGAGTACAAAGTGGAAGGTGTGCCATGGGAGATGCGAGCCGTGGGACACCGGCAGTCACCAGGTTCTCCGTGGTGTCCGTTTCAGCTGTACGCGTTGCTGTAAATACTTGTTTCTGCACCACCACGCTCTTTGGCTCATTGACTTTAAGAAGCTTTTAAAAATCTGTGAGCTTGCAATTCTCTGGCCCCCCACTTTATGCTGATGTTAGAAATTTAGACTCTTGCTTCCAAAGCAGCGTTAGCAGTAGATAGGTGACTTTATCGTGACGGGTCTCCGGAAACAAAATGCCTCTGCTATTTTTTACAGTATTTTTTTTTCTCTTTCCATCATTCCTGCCTCACCACCCCACCCTGCTGTAAAACTTTGCAGGAAATTACTTGTTCCCGGATCAGATGAGTGACGTCCGTCCCCAGACCCCCTGCACTCCCAGGCCTTTGGAGTGCAAGGGACTGGGGAGGGTGGTTTTGACCCCAGTTTGGAGAACTGGTTTCTCACACAGTCCTTCGAGATCCTCAGGGGAGAGACCTCATGAGCACGCTGGGCTCGTGAGCTCCTCATGGAATTTCTTGGATGCCTCAGCTCAGCAAACCTCTGCTCAGGTGAGGTCTCCCCTGCCAGGGGGGCTGCCTGTGTGAGGGACGGGGCAGGCACGGGTCCCTGCTCGCAGGCTGCGTCCCTGGGGCGTCAGCAGGATCCGTGCCACCCCGGCAAGCTGGGCCAGGCTGGATTGGTGCTGCCTGTCCCAGCATAGCCCGTCCCCACAGTGCCAGGGAAATGTCGGCAGCCCGCGTCGAATCCAGAGGTGCGCAAAGACTATCAGGTGTCCGAGAGCTATCGGCTGAGGAGCCTCACTGCCTGTCCCAGCTGGGGATCCATCCTTGACGCAGCTCACTGCATCCCCGATGTGCGTGCACGTTTGTGTGCTTGGGAGCCGCCGCACCAGAGCAGCGTCCCCCCGCCCAGGGCATCCCCGGCGGCTGCCGCTCGGCATGGGGGCGCGTCCCTTCATCCAGGCTGAAGTGATCCTTTTTTTTTTTTTTTTTCCCCCCATTAGGTTAGCTAGAAATCTTCGAATTCTCCATTTTTTCCAATGTTTGCATGTTCAGAACTTAAAGATTAAGGATTCTCTGTTCTGGAGGGATGTCTGTGTGTGTGAAGGTGAAATCACACCGTCGGGACAGCCAGGCGACGTAGCTGGAGAGGCACGAGAATGGGACGCAAAGAGACAGAGGATGTGTTATAATTGCATAGCATGAAACCTTCATGAAAAGTGGGTTTTCTTTGTTTTAAGTGGCGAGCACAGCGGGAGGGACAAGCGTCCCCTGCCCTGTGGCCGTGACCACTGATGCTGGATTCACAGTCCAGACGCTCCGGGTTATTTGAATGTTTGGTGATGTTTTTGTATTGCAGTAAATGGCTGAGATGATGTGTATTTTTCTTTTTTTTTTTCTTTTTTTTTTTTTGGGAAACAAAACCAAATGTAATGCTCCCCCAAATGGTGATCTCTGTGTCGATTTGTATGTGTGACTTCAGGGTTGTGTGCTCGGGGACCTTTTGTTTTATCTAATTGGAGGGAAATAAGTTTTCTGAGGTGCTGGATTGAAATGCCCAGAGGAGATCGGTGTGTGGTAGACGGTCCGAGGAGGGCGGAAGAAAGGCCGCCCTGGTTTTTAGTTTATAGCCTGTATTTTATTTAAATGAACTGATGCCTAGCCAGGCTCAACCGGAGTCAGTGCCTGAAGCTTTTTGTAGCCGTGATATCCCAGAAGAGAACCAGCGAAGTCCTGAAAGATGCGCTCTTATAGAGCGGCCATAGTATCTGTCCAAATATTTGCTTCCATTTTCAAAAGATAAAAGTCATTGATTATAAACTTCCTCTGGTTTGCTTTTTCTTTGACTCTCTGCGTCCTGCACCCACTGCTGCCCGTTACCACGTTCGCTTTAGGTTTTATCAATAACCAGGTTATTAAATGATGGCACTACCCTTAACCACAGCGATAGAAACCCGAGCCTGTGGGGTTGTGGCTGAGCGGGGCCGGTCCTCTGGGACTCCTCCGTTCTCGTCTGCTCTATCCCGGGAGAGCCGGGGCCCATCCCCGGGGTCACACGTGGACTCGCTGGTGATTTCCCTGCAAGCGAACCCAAGAGCTTGGCTGGATGCGGGACTCGATGGCACGGACTTGCTGGGGGGGGTCTCAGGGTAGCGGGGACCGGGGTGGTGCGGTCTCTGGAAGGAAAGGCACCAGCTGGGGGCTGCCCTGGAGCTGGGGGAGCTCATTCTGCTCTTCCCCAGCTGAAACCTGCTTCAAGGGCGCAGGTAACCCTGCAACAGCAAAGAGCCCAGGCTGGAAATGGTATCGCTCAGTCCCCGTCCAGGTTTGAGAACCTTCCCCCAGCGCAGCCTCCGCGGTGCTGCAGCGTTTCACCCTGCATTTCACAACCGCCCTGGTACACCCTGACCCCAGCACAACCCCGAAGGCCCGGCCGTGCCTGGGACGGGACAGGGATACTCTCGGAGAGGCGATGCTCCCTGGCCACCCATGCACGCCCTGGACCCATCCCAGGGGATGCTCATCCCGCAGCCGCTCCTGCAGACCTGAACGCAATTTTTTGCGTGTGTTTTCCGAGTGATCTGGGGCTGGCAAGAACCAGGACGCTCCTCCCGCCCCC